TTTCTTTCGTGGTTCCCATACCCTTAATAGAATGCTAGTACATGTACCTCATCCAAACAACTGTGTTGCTTCCCTTTTCATTCTTAACATAGGAAAATAAATATTCAAAGGCACCATTACAATATGCATTCCGGCCTCCAGATGTGGTTTTAACACCCTAGTAGCTGTGTCAGGTATAAAGCTTGTGTTGGGCTGATGCCTATTCTCATATGTAATGCTATTAAATGAAGATCATCTTAGAAAGCCCACTATCCTAGCATCTTAGGAAGCCCAGGATCCTAACCCTTCTTAGTGAGAACAGCTTTAGCACCAATTAAATCTTTCAACTGGTTAAGAAAGATGCTTAAAGTTAATGCTTTTGGCCTATGTGTGTTGAGACTAAAATTGCATATTGTTATTAAAGATTCTTAGTCTTTGAAAAATATTCTATTTGGTCTTAAGAGAAAAGATCATCCATGGATTGAAAAAAAAAAAGGAAATCATAAAGGAAATGTAAGTAAATTCTAGCAAACTTGAAAAGCTAGTACAATTCAGGTTAACTCTTCCTGGAGGTGAAAATAAGTACAATTAAGGGTGATTCCTCTAGTCTCCTATGTAAATCAGATTAAATGCTTTGGAATTTAAATGCATATCTCTTACAGCTCTTTTCCTTTTCAAATAAAAAGTTTAAATGACAATGGAAAGAACTATTCATTGGCTTAACATAAATCTTTAAACTGCAGGAAGCTTCACCCTCAAAAAGTAGTTGAATCTCTGAGGAAAAAGAAAAGGCTGAATTCTATTTTTCATAAATGATGGATTATTGTACCACACTGTGTATTTTCCAGTAAAGTGTCCTTTTATTTGCACTGTGTGATTACAAGTTTCTAAAAGTATGTGTGGGGTCACTTGGGTGCTGTGGGAAAATGGAAGGAACACTGTTCTGTTAAAATCAGTAGTGAAATCAGAAGCAAACTATGTCCTGATTATCATAGGCATGTGTTTAAATTTTGCTTTCCTTAATTGGTTATGTTGTATTTACTTAAAATGAACAATTTGGCAAGTTTTTCTCCCTTGACAACAGAAAAGCGTAAACTGTTTTATAAGTTTGGCTGTTAAAATCAGATTTGTAAACCACAATATTCAAAGATTTTTCTGCAGTTTTCAGGGACCCAGTGATGGACCTTGATTTTTAACCATGCATTTCTTACATTTATATTTTGTATTTATAGAACTTTAAAATTATTTAATTAAAAACTGTTCCTTATATATATAGCCATATATTGACTTTACCTTCTGCATAACTCTTCTTAGAACAAATGAGCAGAATGAATGATGGCAAAATCCTGGCAATTTGACTTGTCATCTGAGGATGATTATTTATGACAGCAGGAAATGGAAGTTGATGCTCTAGTCTGTCTCCAGGAAAGTCATCATTACAGGAAACTTTGAAGAATTTGACTATGTTAAAAAGCTGTACAATCATATCCAAGACTGCTAGTTTCTTAGGACATGTGAAAAGGAAACAAGTTAAAGCATTTAAAAACATATTTCCATTTCTTTTGAAAAGCCAGTGCACCTTACAGACATTTCTCATGTGTGGAGCCAGATGGTGGTATTGAAAACAATATAATATACATATATATCTCTCTAATTAAGAATACTATTACAGAATACCTCAGGGGTTCCAAAAAGATATAACTTACTACATAATTATTTTCATAATCTAGCATTTAGGCTGTGTCTATGTGTGAGTGTTTTAATTTGCAGAGTACTTCCTCATCAGATCATTATTCTAGCTCCAAAATGACCCAGAATTTCTTGGCAGTCTGTCATGGGAAATGACAAGGTCTTGAGGTTATACCAGAAATAGAAAATTCTGGTAACCTGTAAAAACTTAGACTGATTGTTCCATACATTTCCAAAGATGAACTTGTGACCAGAGATACCCTGAGACCTGAGACACCTTTTTTTTTGCAGGATGTTGTTTTCTTCATCACTAGAACCCAGACCTGAGGGACTTTAACTACAGTTATCTGTTAAAGCAGATTATACACCACTGGTAGTCATTGTAATAGCTAGACCTACAATGAAAGTTGATAGGGTATCATGTAGGAATAGTATATTAATAAGCTCAGAGTAGTTCTTCCAATTATACAATTTTGAAATAGTTGATTCCTGAATAATCATGATCCTGTAAAAGCAATTTTTGCTTTCTTGGGTAGTTTTTTTGTTTGTTTATTTGTTTGACTTTTTTTTTTTTGTACTCACAATTGAACCTAGGAGGCTTTACTACTGAGCCAAATCCTCTTTTATTTTTATTTTGAGACAGGGTCTCATTAAGTTGCTTAGGGTCTCACTAATTTGCTGAGTTGCTTGCTTGGGTTCTAAAGGCACTTTTTCTCTGAGGTCAATTCATCTCTAGGATTCCTTAGTTCCTTATATTTCTATTATATGATTTATTGTAATTACATAGACCAGGTGAATTTTTATCCATAACAGTTAAACCGAGTACTGCTATGTACATAATAGGTCAACTTGTATTCATTCTATCATCTAGCAACACTGCCTATTAATATAATGTGAGCCATATATGTAAAGTAAAATCATCTGGTAGCCTATTTTAAAGAGTAAAAGAAACATTTTAATTCTATATTTCTTGTAGCTAAAAATATCCAAAATATTACAATTTAAATATAAATCACAAGATGCATGCCAAAGCTGGGCTTGGTGGTACATACCTATAATCCCAGCAACTCTGGAAGCTTAGGCAGGAGGATGGCAAGTTCAAGACCAGCCTCAGCAATTCAGCAAGGATCTAAGCAACTTAGTAAGACCCTGTCTCAAAATTTAAAAAAGTAAAAAGTACTGAGGATGTGTTCCTTCCATTTTCCCACAGCACCCAAATGACCCCACACATACTTTAAGAAACATGTAATCACACAGTGCAAAAATTAACTAGGGGGGTGCAAAAATCACCTCCCAGTTCAGTCCAAGTACCAAAATATAGAGATGCATTCCAAATGCTCAAGAGCCCCAAATGACTAGTAACTACCATAGTAGAGAGCATTGTCCGATGCAGTGCTTCTCCAGTGGTTGAAGTTAAGGTCCTCTTAAAAAATGACAATATTTTTAAAACCCACTGAAAGAAATACATAAGACTCATAGTCAAAGTGTACACAGCTGCTTCAGAGGATCTATTTTATTACTATGAGTGCTGAGTGCTGAGTACTACATAACCCATTCTTCAGACACACTAGTTGGGAAGTTCTTCTCTATAGCAGTGAGTCCTAACTTTTTTCTAGCTCTAGATCCATTCACCTTTCTCACTTATAATAGGTAATAGGCAAGAGAGTACAGTTGCCTATTACCAATTCATTTAATGAACAGATAGTTTATGATAGATTGGTGATAGATTGGGTATGTATTATGTGTATTATACATATGCTACTTATGGATTTCATTTTGCTTTTCACACTTCCTTTGCATTCTCCCAGTGTGCTGATAGCACCAATAAAAGAGAACTTAGTGGACTCTGTAACTTGTCCCATCAGTTTAAAGCAGCAATTCTCAATGGAACAATTTTGCATTCCTCCCAGGGCACATTTAGAAATGTCTACAGACATTTTTGATTGTTTCAGCTGAGGCGGGTGCGACTGGTATCTTGTTGAATTGATACCAGGGAGGCTGTTCAACATTCTACACAGTCTGCCTGAGATAGCATCCTGCAAAAAGAACTACTTGGCCTAAAATATCAATAGTCAAGAAATTCTAGATAAGATAATACAAAGTATGTTGGTTCTTTTAAGTGGCAATCATTGTCTTGATTCAGTATAGCATAGCACCTAGTCCCATGTCTTATCCAAAACTCTGAACCTAATTTACCATTAAAATTCCACCCTTCTCCCAGTCAACATGCAGGTAAGACTTTTCCTCCTTCTCCCCTTTCTAGCTTTATACTTCATCTTAACTGCCCATCTTGCTAACTCAAATTTACAACTGCTTTGTGATCCAACCTGGAGGAAGGAGTTGCAAAATACCTACAATTGACCAATATTAGAAGACTTCTAACAGTCTGAGGCAGATTTTTGTAAAGGAGAACTGAATTTTTTAAAAACAATACCTAATAAAGTGTCCCAAAATGTGAATTTTTTGAACAAGTGGGTTAAGAAATTAGAAACCCAGTTAGGATCTATTTTATCTTAGAGATACAACAAATTATAATCAGAAACTAATAATAAGACACCTTGAATGTGTACAGAATCTATGCTTAATGAAAATACAGATCTTATGTGTTATATTCCTCATTTAATTCACAGCCTGTAGCGTGGAACCTGATGATCATTATTAAGACATTCAGCAAGTATTTGTTCAGGAATGAATTTGACACACATATGAATTTGAAAATAAGGCTGAGAATAGGGAACTGATGAAGACATAGAAATGTTTGAGGGAAATATGTGTCCAGTTTTCACCTAAATTTTGTGGTAACGGAGCATCAATAATGAAAGTAACAAATATCAGCTTCCAAAATAAAGAAAATCAATTTGTATTAACATAAAATAGAAGATTGACAAAATTATTTGAACAAACAGAGCCTTCAAAAATACCTGCATTACTCAGAGATAGTATATAATCAGAATTAATTGCAATTAGCAATGCTAAATCATTCCTTCCCAATTTAGATAATGGGTTTTAATCTAACTGACCATAATTTTGTGTTTAAACAGATATAAAATTATTTAGATAAAAGTTATTATGCTAAATATAAAGGAATGAAAGTGAAAATGAATTGTGTATATATGGAACTACCCGTATTCTGATTGCACCCTGATGTTGAAATCATACTAATACTTTTATGTGGTCGAATTTTACTCATATGCCCTATATACAGAGAAGGGCCTGAGCTATTAATTCAGGTAGTTGTTCTATAACTACTGTTTTCTATTCATATTTGCATAAAGTAATAATCATAAAGGAGAAATTTACTGAGAGCATCTGATTTTGTTTTTAATCTCCAGTGTTCAGACTACATCATAGTGCTTCTGATACAAGCGACAAAAACAGAGTTAAAAGCCGATTAAAGAAGTTTATTACCCGAAGACCTTCCCTGAAAACTCTGCAAGAAAAAGGACTTATTAAAGGTACAGAAGTTTTATACTTGTATTGTTACTGTGATAAGTGAATGTGCCTCCATGTCCACAGCCAATTTGCTCTAAAGGAACATTAGGATAATTTATTCTTCTTAGGTTGCTTATTAAATTTTCTGTTCTATAACAGAGGAAAAAATAGCTGTCTAGAAAAGGAACCCTGAGAAAATAAAGATGGCCTCATGGGATCATTGAAAACAATTCCTAGTTTTGAACTCAGCAGATAGGAATTCTGTACCAGAAGCAGCATAGAAGTATCCTAGTGGGTGGCCTGGTCAAATGACTGCAAAGTCCCATGTGCCAGTACATCCCAGTGTAGTCCTGGTGTCCCTAGCATATCTAATAACAGTAGCCTCAGAAGTGTCCTGATTTGAACAATATTATTTAATCACCCAAATCAGAGTCTAAAATAAGTTCTAGGAAGAAAGTCCGAGGCAAACTATTGTCATAAAAATATGACTACAGTCTAGTGAAGGGTCGAGAGCTCAATGTAAACTGAAATAATGAGATAATTTTGTAAATATATCCAAGGTAGAGAAAAATATCTGTACCAAATCATCTTTTTCACTATAAAAAATAAAAATAAAAAAAACATGGTCCCTGGCATTAGAAGTAGTTAGAATTTAGACCTTGACAATTATTCTATTATGCATACTGACATTAAACAATTTATGAACTTTCTGAGCCTCAGCTTTCCCATCTGTTAAATGGAAATACTGAGAGCACATTTGGCTCACTACACATCGACTTCATACAATAATATACTAGTGTACTATACTAGTATCTTCAGTTCTACCTTAGACTTTATCCTGTAGATTTTTATTTTCCTTAGGAAGGATTCAGTTGTAGATTACCTGCCATCTTGAAATAAAAATAGATTAGCAGCACAAACAATCCCAATTTTACATAAATTCTAATTTTTCATGACTATGGCAAAATAAAAGAGTTTTTAATTCAGTGATAGGGTCTAGGTCCAATCAAAAGGCTAAAGAATTAATAACCCTTGACAGTTCCCTAGAATTGGTCTCAGAAAGCAGCAGAGGAACTAGATGCTTAATGCAGTCTTCATACTGATGCAATGGAACCGCTGAACACACTCTAATGCATTCATTTCCTATCTCAGAGTTCCATTAAATTTTCACCATAGCTGACCAATGAGTCAGTATTCATTAGTAGGGCTATGGAAAATCTATGTGAAATTCTGATTTGATAAGCTTCCATTGTTGACTTCCGTGGAATTTTTTTCCAAATACAGATCAAGTTATGCAAATGTAGTCACTTCTTGGACTTGTTTCAAATTTAACTATGAACTTTTTTCAAGGCTTTCACTGAGTTTTTTTTTTTTCAATTGAGTAAAAGGCACTGACCCAATTTTTAAAAGGATCTGGCCAGTCAAATTTAGTAATTTAGTCCTATTTATTATTATTATTGTTTAAAGCAGAGATTTAGAAAAAATCAGTAAAGAAAAATCACATGAAATAAATTGATGATTAATGTTAAATGGTTAAATTCCCCCAAACAAAATGACTCACAAAGTTATTTACATTACTGTAGGGTCAGCTGCTATACTAATTTTCATTTTGACCAAGAGTGTATAAGAGTTCCTTTTCCTTAAAAATTGATCTTCAGTGCATTTGGCTAAAGAATCTGAATCATGTTTTTTAAACTGCCTTATCTTTCAGATCTGGATAAAAGGCCTCCATTGCCAAAGATAGGAAACTATGCTTCCCAGTTTGGGCCCTGCAGTTATGCTTCCTGCAGGTCCATAACTGAATTCCTCTTTTTCTTTTATTAACAAGCAATAAGTGTACAGATTAGTGGGTTTCACTGTGACATTATGTATATATCACACACTGATATTGTCCATCCTCTGTCCCCACTCCCCTGATCCCTTCCTAGTTCTTATTTTACTTTCAGGTCTATTTTTTGGGGGGTTCCATAATTGAGAGAAAATATATAATACATGTCTTTCTATGTCTGACTTATTTGCAGAGCAAGATGACCTATAGTTTCATATATTTTCCTGAAAATGATAGGATTTCATTCTTCTAATGGCCTAATAATACTCCATTGTGTGTGTGTGTATGTGTATATATATATATATATATACATATATATATATATACAATTTTCTTTATCCGTATATCTATTGACTCATTTATCTGTAGGCTGATTCCATCTTGACTATTGAGAATAGTGCTGCAATAAATGTGGGTATGGTGGTGCTTCTTTTGAATACTAACTTCATTTTCTTTGAATCAATACACAGGAATGGCATAGCTACATGATATGGTAGTTCTATTTTTAGTTTTTTCAGGACCTCCATACTGTTTACCATAATGGCTATGCTATTTTACACACCCACAGAGAGAGTGTTTGAGGGTTCCTTTCCACTACATCCTTGCAACACGTGTTGCTATTGTTATTTTGATAATGGCCATTCTAACTGAAGTGAGATGGAATCCCAATGTAGTTTTCAGTTGCATTTCCCTAATGGCTAAAGATGGTGAACATTTTTTCATGTATTTCTTGGCAATTTGCACTTCTCCTGAGAAGTGTCTACTTAAGGTCAAAGTGAGCCAAGTATTGCCAGTGGCTCATGCCTGTGATCCCAGCATCTCAGGAGGCTGAGGCAGAATTGTAAGTTCAAGACCAGCCTCAGCAATTTAGCAAGGCCCTATAAAACTTAGCCAGACCCTGTCTTAAAATAAATATTAAAAAGGGCTAGGGACTTGGTAAAGTGCCCCTGGGTTTAATCCCCACTACCAGGAAAAAAAAATTTAAGTGTGTGCTCTTTTATATAGTAGTACCAAGAATTTGAGAGAATTGAGCTTTGAATTCAGCCAGGCTTCACTGATTACCCATGTGGGAGGCAGGAATGGCTGTACTTAATAACACCCATCAGACTCATGTCCACAAAGAACATTATATAAAAAATTGCCCTGATATCACACATTTTAAATTAAGTCATAAACCCTTTCTTCAAAACCCAGTTTTTGGACTTATGGAGACTTGGCCAATTTGGGATTGCAGTTGCCAGAATCTAGATCAGAAAACTGTCCCTCAATAGTGTTATGTTTTCTAAATTCTTTAGTATGACTAATGGCAAGTATACATTGTAATGCCAAGGATGGTGGAGGTAGTGGTGGAGATCCAGCAGATATCTCTGATTGGTAAATGGAAAGAAATCAGTGTGTGTGTGTGTGTGTGTGTGTGTGTGTGTGTGTGTGTGTGTGTATTGGGGGCAGTAAAGCCATGTTTCCTCTACAAGGAAAGAGAGTGTGAAACCATTCCATGGTTCTTCATGCTTTACATATTGAAGTTGCTACACATTACAATCATAAATACTGTCCTACATAGGGAAAGGAAGATGTTACTAAGTCTATCTTTGTTTGCAATAAATATCCCAACTATTATTCATTTGCCAGAAGTCTAGAGTGAAAAAAAAAATATTAGGGAATGTTATAATTCAGATGTGAGGTGTCCCCCAAAAGCTCACATGTAGGTTCACAGGAAAAATGATTGGGTTTTAAGAATCTTAACTCAATCATTAAATTTATCCCTTGATGGGGATTAGTTGAGTGGTAACTGAAGTGCTGGAGTGTGGCTGGAGGAAGTGGGAATCCGGATATGGCTTTGGATATATATTTGTATCTGGCCAGTGGTATCTCTCTCTCTCTTTGCTTCCTGATCACCATGATGTGAGCTGCTTTCCTCTGCCACATTCCCCTGCCATGATGTTCAACTTTGAGCCCAGAGAAATGGAGCCAGGCTTCTATGGATTAAGACATCTGAAACCATGAACCCTCAAACATTTCTACAATTGTGCTAGTCAGGTCCTTTAGTCACAGCAGAAAGAAAAAAAAAACTAACTAAAACAGAGAATCTCTACCTCCTGAAGTTGTGTAAACTTAGGTTTGCGTTCCCTTATTTTTCTGCTTTCCTTTTATAACACTTAATGATCCAAAATGGCTGCTTGAGTTTCACTCACCATGACCATGTTATGGTTTTGATATGAGGTATCCCCAAAAAGTTCATGTGTAAGAAAATGCAAGAAGGTTCAGAGGTGAAAAAGAATAGATTATGATAGTTGTAACCTCACTGATATGGATTAACTGGTTGATAACTATAGACAGGGATGGTGTGGCTGGAGGAGATAGGTCACTGGGGAGTGGGACCTTAATAGATCAGGTGGGTGTAGCAAACATCTTGCCACTGCAGTGACAGTCTCTAGAAAGCTCCCTGAGTGCATTTATGTTTGCCAAGGGGATGACAACATTTGTATATGTATTATTTTACTACATTGACCATCTCACTGGAAACACAATTTGAATCAGTTTAATTTGTAGATTATAGGCACAAGGGTACACTTTAGGATAGTAGGTGTGCTTGTGCACATCTTCTACATAAGTCAGTTTGGCTAACACTAGCAAATAAATTATTACTTCAGTTCCCAAAACAAGTAATCATTCAAATAATAGCACTGACTTCAAAAAAAGGACGTACTCAAAAATATAGTTTTTAGAAAAGATTACAACCTTTTTATCTATGAATACTATTTCCAAATATCAAAAAAATAAGATCGTATATTTGGAAAGTGGTTTTATTCATCTTAATATGAACAAAACCCATGACATTAATGGAAACTGAAATTAATGTCATACTAGTTCAATTTTTTAATCAGTACATTGTAAAGTAGACAATCTACTTAAAGATTCAGAAGTATATGGTAAAAAGCAATGTTTTCCAGCCTAGTCCTAGTTTCGCTCCAAGGAGCCACCACTTCGGTTTCTACTTTTAGCTCTCCTAGCGGTTGGCTCCAAATCTATACTATCTAAGGCGCAGGGTGGTTTGTGTCTGTCAGTGTCTTCCTTTTCTTTAATGCTATAATATCATAATTTATCAGTCTTAGACATTAATTCATATTTCTGATGTAATAGGAATGAACTGGACTCAATTCTACCACGCCTCCTCTCTACTCCTCCTCAAATACA